TGGGGGTTGGGGGGGGGGTTGGGGACTCTGTGTTATGTACTGGATAGATGGGTCACCATCATCACTTTGATTCTTAGGGTGAAAGCTGCAATACGACCTACAGACAAATAAAGATAGAGCTGTTAGAGAAAAGGCAATGCCAGGTCTAACTTTGGCCTCCGTGTCTGTACAACACTATTAACCTGCAGAACTATGAAAATAACTTCCAACTGCCATTAGAGCAGAAGAGAATTACCATGGCTTCAGCATTTAAAAAATGCCGCTAGGGATATCCGATAATACTCTGATTTCCTTCTACATTACTCAAAAGAATTTTCTCTTTTGGCCATTTTTGGTTCCATTGGGCTGTATCCCTAGCCAGCCAAGTGCATGGAGGTTTCTTGAGTTCTGCCTATACTTGAAGGAACTCAAGTTAGCATACGGCCATTATTGATCCATAGTGGGGTACGTCTGGTTCGGTGCCAGTTTCAATCTTCTGTATACTGTACAATCATACGTATTATATATTGTTGAGAAGGCATACCCATCATCTCTCATGTGTGCAACTGCCAGCTTTATAATGCTAATACTCCATTACCAACTACATAGCAGCCAAACTTTTTAACTCACAACCAATCATCAATCAATCGATCTATTGACCAATCAGTTAGTCATTTATTCATTAAATACCTCTGTTGTCAGGTACACTCGGCACCTTTGATTATCATTATTTTAATGACTTTTGAGGAAAGTCTAAATAAAATCCAAGGGAACAACAATGAAAATGCAATTACATATTCTCAATACCGGATTCCAAGAAAACAACACAAAGCTATCTTCATTTGTTTCTTTGAGGATAGCATTAAAGGTACTTAATGGGGTTGACCAAAGTTGAACCATGATAAAAAACAGTGGCATATACATCATCATCATCACAGAAAACACTAAATGGAAAGAAATAGACTTTAAAACAAAAAGACATGCATTCTTGCATGTATCATGTATATTAAATCATAAAAAGAAACAAAAATTGTGATCTTACTTTTACAGAATTATATCAAATAACTGTTGTTCCACTGGATTTTCTAGGCACTTCATTTTGTGGGAATAAATCAATTGAAAAGTTGAAGTAGGCAGATTCTCCTAAAATAATTTTTTCTTTTGGCAGAAAATCAATAAGTTAGAACAAAATCGCTAGTTTCTTATTCTCTCTCTCTCTCTCTCTCTCTCTCTCTCTCTCTCTCTCTCTCTCTCTCTACAGCTTCCAAAGTGTTCACAAAGTCACTAGAAGCATGAGGGCTTGAAAATTTAAACATAATATGCAATTGTGTAATAAATAAATGATTCAATTACAAATTCATTCATGATAAAATTACAATTATATCTACTTGTGAAATTTATCAAGTAAAATTTTTTTGGGTAGTGAGTCTGTAACTCTGACATTAACAACCCAGATGATAACCTTTTCTTTTCTATATTAAAATATTAATACAGATTTTGTATGAAATCTAATATGTTATCTGATCTCCAAGTTTCAAAGGTTGAAAAAGCTCCTCCAGCAATATATGGGACAAATGATGGAACCTATCCACAAACCCACTCATTGCTCTCCCATACATCTTACTGACAATCTTAACTTTCTGAATTCTCCATGGGCAGAGTGAAATAAGGAGAAAAAAATGCCACAGACAAAAACATGATGAAAATTACCTCCTCATGGTAGCGAATAGCCTGAGCGAAATTACCCAACAGATAATGGGTATTGCCGAGGTTACCGCAGGCTCTTCCCTCAGCTGCTCTGTCCCCAAGCTCTTGTACGATTTTGAGATTCTCCCTGAAAAATCAATTCAAAACAATATGAAAACATATCTGAGTCACATTTTTCATCTTTTACAACATTTTCTTTGAATTATGAATTTAAAAAAAAATTGGTAATTGACTGGTCCTGTGGGTCTAAATAAAGAGATAAATGTTTATCTATATTTCTAATACGCTGACAAGCAAACTATTTTGTAACACATACACAAAATAGACTATGATAAAAATAAGTTAATTAATTCAGTCTCCATGACACATCACTCAACTAATTACTAAAGCACATATCATTAAAGTTACAGTGACTAATCTGCAATTCTATTTGTNCGCCTACGCTGGTGGTACAATAACATCTAAAAAAATATTAGATTTCAAAAAAGCAACATACTAGTACCACTAAGACACTCCAATAACAATAAGCATTTGCCAGAATAAAAAAAATCTCTGGTGAAATTCTGTCTGCCATTTGACAGCCAAGGCATAAGGTAAAAAACAAAAGTAAAAACCTTACTTGTAGTGATCTGCAGCCACCTCAAACTCTCCAAGGAAGATGTGAGCATTCCCAAGATTGCTGTACGCCCTCCTCTCTGCTGCTTTGTCCCCAAATTCCTTGGCAATGGCAAGACGCTGAAATGACAAATATTTTCCTGCAGTGTACCAGACAATTTTTGTTTCAAAAGCTCTTGACATTTGCGGTCTACCAAAAAGCTGTCAACATACCTAATCAATCTGCTGCCTTGCTATTATGAAATTACTTGGTGGTTATCTCTGAACTACATTTAGATCACATTTGCTACAATGTATCCAAGGCATTCAATAAAAACATACCAACAAAGATCTTACTTTCTTTCTTTCTCTGTTCATTTCTTTGAAGTCAAAGCCCTGTTCATTACTAATATACAGTATGCTGCCAAAATCAAATGAAAAACCACGAGTAACACCTATCCACATTTAGTACTGCTTTTCTCTTCTGCTGTCCACACACACACACACACACACACACACACACACACACACACACACAGACAAATAGCACTTATAAGTTCTTTTTATTCAATAGCCTTTGTTACATCCATGTAATGCAAACTTAGAAAGAAAATTCAGTCCTAAAACAATGGGTTCATACGGTGATACAGAGTTTCAGCTGTAATCTCACAGAAAAACTGTTTAAAAAGGTCTTCTTAAACACACTTGCATCCTACCATTGGTCTCTTTCTTCACAACAAATTTGACCTTTTCCAAGAAAATGCCCAACTGTATTTGTGAACTAAAACAGTCATTCTATTTGCCAGCAGTGATACCACTGTAACACTTTCTTGATTAGCTGGTATCCAATTGCTTTGGCCTAATGATTACAAACAGGGGATTGTAAATCCAGTCAATAATCTTTATGAATTCAGACATAATTTGTTCAAAATGTTCTCGAGTGACCTTTATGGTATGGAGTTGTTGCCCATGCTGATTGAAAATGCAATTATTAACTGGATAGAGGCTGTCGTACTCTGGAAGAAGGCCATCATTCATGTACACTTTATTCTGGCGTTGTACTTTTTCGTGCTATTATTTTTTACTCAGCACCACAAGAATGCTATATGATCAACTGAATCAAAACTTTAAATGTGATAGATAAAACATCATGTTGAAATAAAGTGGATAGTTTTCACAATTTTAAAGTTTTCTTTATCAACCAAACATAAAAACAATATGAACCAAGATACCTATGTCAAGTCAGTCTGTCAGCACTGTAAACATGAGCCTCTGACGCAATCCATAATTAAACAGCAATCTCCATGGCATATGCAAAATTAATACTAAATGCTGGAGAAATCACTCTGGCCATAAAAACTGGATTCAGTTTCAATAGTTTTTTCTTCCAAGTTGCCCAAATTTCTAATATTCTTTGTGACTTGACTAAAATAAAAAGAACAAGAACATACACTTGCAGGCAAAAAGATACTCAACAAAAAATTGAAATTTTGAAGTTCATCATAACTGGACAACTAAGACATCTGCAATTACTAGACTCATAAACATTTCAAAGAAAAATATATAAAGTGAAGAGGGTTTAAAGGTGCACTTTGTACTTTTCAAATTGCCTGCTGTAGGATAAAGTAAGATAACCAAGTCCAGTTACCAAATTTCTGGAAACTTTGTACAATGCCCACCTGCTGCGTGTTCACCATCTGGCGACTCTGTGGATGTAACAGCTTGGATTAATTTTCATAATTTAACAGGAGCTCACAATTTTCTGCTCATGTAATGACACAACATCATGTTTTATCAGAGTAACAAATTTTCTGATAAAAGAGAGTTGGATTTTGTATTAGACCTGCCCCGAACATCTTGAAGAAGGTAGTAGCATCATGACAATATGTCGTTAAGCACCCACGCAAATTCTGTGCACAGCTTAATATATATATAAATTATGCATGTGCAGTGTGCAAACAGTGTGTTGACTTGTACACACGTGTATGGGCATGCGAGTCCTATTTGCATTCAGGTCCAACTTCTGAGACTTCAATACGCAGTGTCCATCATTCTTTTAAAAAACACATTGACTTTTGATATTAACATATAGAACTCTAACTCTAACTCGCAGTGTCCATCATTCTTTTAAAAAACACATTGACTTTTGATATTAACATATAGAACTCTAACTGGTAGTTTTCAAAAGACCCATGTTTAAAGAAACTTGTTAATACCTCACCTGTGACTTTCTCATGAATTACGATAAAAAAAGTTGGCCTGGCAATAACGAAAGGCCAAGTTCTTTTAGCAAGAATAAGATGTTGTGCATTCCCCAAGGCCATTCCAGACCTGCCTATTAATCTTACAGTCAATCAATGAATTCTGTACACAAAGCAGGCATCAAAATTATCCTTGAAAAGTTTTCTAATTATGTTAAAAGCATTTCAGGCAATGCACAGTTATCTAAACTGAAATGCTAATTATGATTAAAAGCCACAATTAAGGTTAATGTGATTGTATACATTTTGCGTGATTAACAGAAAAGTAATTATGTAATTTCTGAATTCCTTTACTTAAATATTTTTTTGGTGACTTTACCTGTGACACTGACACTGTTAGGACATAAATTACAGCATACATACCACAGGAGCAATTACCAAAATAATGTCAAATTTTAAGTACATTTCTTTGAAACCCCTTTCTTCCTTATAATAAAAAGTGTGGAATAGCACTTAATGGTCTTGAAGTAACTATTGACCAAAATCTTGGGTAGACTCAGCAACAAAATAAAAAGCCTTAGAATCCCCTTTAGGAATGTTCTCTATGTGAGAACTCAATAACAGACCTTAGATATTTGTTCAAAACCAAACTATAATTCACTCACAAGCCAATTTAAAAACAGCCATCGTGGTTCAACATGACAAAAATAACAATCAAATACCGACTTATTGCGATATTTAATTAAATAAAGGGGCGAAAAACGTCCTGAAAAATTTTGTGCCATCAGAGTTACAGGATGTTAAGTCGACACAAAATGGATAATGCTCAAAAACCCATTTCTAATTTATTTTCTAGATCTGCTGGTCACTGTAGATGTTTCACATATATACAAAAGTCAAATGTCTGAAATGTTAGCATAAACCTACCGTTCATATATATATATATATATATTTTCACCATCAACCAGTTCACAAAATTATCACTTTTTAATACTTTATATGCTAGTATATAAAATAATCTATAATAAATTTATCAAATCTGTTTGTTTTCTACTATCTCATTCTCAATGCAGGCTAATGCTACTGCCATTTCATATTCAAAATCCTAAGAACATATTGATTAAGAAAAAAAAATCACTTCAAACGCCTAACTCACCGATTCACACTTGGCCATGTTAGCTTTTGTCTGCCTTTGGCACATAAACATTAAAGCAAATACTAATAGATTGAGTGTAAGCAAATGCCTCTGCTACTGCAAAACTCGATGTGGTTCCAGGCAAACTCTTTGCGCAAAAGGTGCTCCGAGCAATTGAAGCCAGAAGAAGAGTGTCGTTTCCACTTCTGTTTAGCACCACTACTTGTGGGTGCAGCCATGCTGAAGTCCTCCTGTGCTATAGCATCCCATTGACAAAAGTCTCGATTTTACTCTGATATTAAATGATATCACCCTTCATACTTAGCTTCTACGTTTATACTATATACTGCCAGTAATATCCAATGAAAAGCCCCCTAATATTAGTAATGCAATATTCACCTTCAGGGCCCTCTTTCCTGGCAATGAATTTTTAAAATGAACAGGAGATGGCTTAAATTCCTACGACTTTGTTTCAGTGCCAGTGACAGATTACTGCAATGATTGCTGGGTTTTATTTACTGTATTAAAATGTGCAACAATGCCGATTAAAAAATTTTCTTAAATAAACTATTTTAACTGATAAGTCTTACACAGAAAAATATAACAGCTAAGTTTCGTCTGCGAGGATGAACACTCTTTTGCTCATGCAGAACATTCATGTATGCACGCACATGCACACACACACACACACAGACACACACACAACCTGTGTCTTTGGACTGATATTTCATTAGCAAAGAAACCGAGCTATGCTCTACTGGGGACTATCCATTATCTTCATATATGACTTCTCGCGGGACTGCAGATTAGTGCTCCCTTAAAAAGGGTTGTACAGATCAATAAATAATGCTTCACAACATTTTAATGCCTTCATTACAAAGTCAGTCTGAATTTTGTCATCGACTTTTTAAAAATTTATACAGTAAACACGTGACCAACCCGAGTGTCAATGCTCATGGCCATACAGTTATAGGAATGATAAAGCCAAGTCCAAATTGTATTCTAATACCCAGGGTAGTGTGCTAATTGACTTGTATTTAGACACTCATCACTAGTATAAGGTCACATCTTGGTGTTGTATTAGCTTTTGGTCATATATCTGCTATCTCTATCTAATTTAAATACTCAGTGAATTGAATAAGACTATAGTTCGCATTACATAAGTTACCTGTACTTTTTTATATATTTTGTTAATCTGTGTGTGTGTGTGTGTGTGTGTGTGTGTGTGTGTGGGGGGGGGGGGGGGACTCAAGTGTTAATTACTGGAGAGTTGGGTCACCATCATCACTTTGATTCTTAGGGTGAAAGCTGCAATACGACCTACAGACAAATAAAGATAGAGCTGTTAGAGAAAAGGCAATGCCAGGTCTAACTTTGGCCTCCGTGTCTGTACAACACTATTAACCTGCAGAACTATGAAAATAACTTCCAACTGCCATTAGAGCAGAAGAGAATTACCATGGCTTCAGCATTTAAAAAATGCCGCTAGGGATATCCGATAATACTCTGATTTCCTTCTACATTACTCAAAAGAATTTTCTCTTTTGGCCATTTTTGGTTCCATTGGGCTGTATCCCTAGCCAGCCAAGTGCATGGAGGTTTCTTGAATTCTGCCTATACTTGAAGGAACTTAAGTTAGCATACGGCCATTATTGATCCATAGTGGGGTACGTCTGGTTCAGTGCCAGTTTCAATCTTTTGTATACTGTACAATCATATGTATTATATATTGTTGAGAAGGCATACCCATCATATCTCATGTATGCAACTGCCAGCTTTATAATGCTAATTCTCCATTACCAAGTACATATAGCAGCCAAACTTTTTAACTCACAACCAATCATCAATCAATCGATCTATTGACCAATCAGTCATTCATTCATTAAATACCTCTGTTGTCAGGTACACTCAGCACCTTTGATTACCATTATTTTAATGACTTTTGAGGAAAGTATAAATAAAATTCAAGGGAACAACAATAAAAATGCAATTACATATTCTCAATACCGGATTCCAAGAAAACAACACAAAGCTATCTTCGGTTGTTTCTTTGAGGATAGCATTAAAGGTCTTAATGGGGTTGACCAAAGTTGAACCATGATAAAAAACAGTGGCATATACAGCATCATCATCACAGAAAACACTAAATGGAAAGAAATAGACTTTAAAGCAAAAAGACATGCATTCTTGCATGTATCATGTATATTAAATCATAAAAAGAAACAAAAGTTGTGATCTTACTTTTACAGAATTATATCAAATAACTGTTGTTCCACTGGATTTTCTAGGCACTTCATTTTGTGGGAATAAATTAATTGAGAAGTTGAAGTAGGCAGATTCTCCTAAAATAATTTTTTCTTTTGGCAGAAAATCAATAAGTTAGAACAAAATTGCCAGTTTCTTATTCTCTCTCTCTCTCTCTCTCTACAGCTTCCAAAGTGTTCACAAAGTCACTAGAAGCATGAGGGCTTGAAAATTTAAACATAATATGCAATTGTGCAATAAATAAATGATTAAATTACAAATTCCTTCATGATAAAATTACAATTATATCAACTTGTGAAATTTATCAAGTAAAATTTTTTTGGGAAGTGAGTCTGTAACTCTGACATTAACAACCCAGATGATAACCTTTACTTTTCTATATTAAAATATTAATACAGATTTTGTATGAAATCTAATATGTTATCTGATCTTCAAGTTTCAAAGGTTGAAAAAGCTCCTCCAGCAATATATGGCACACATGAAAGAACCTATCCACAAACCCACTCATTGCTCTCCCATACATCTTACTGACAATCTTAACTCTCTGAATTCTCCATGGGCAGAGTGAANGGGTCACCATCATCACTTTGATTCTTAGGGTGAAAGCTGCAATACGACCTACAGACAAATAAAGATAGAGCTGTTAGAGAAAAGGCAATGCCAGGTCTAACTTTGGCCTCCGTGTCTGTACAACACTATTAACCTGCAGAACTATGAAAATAACTTCCAACTGCCATTAGAGCAGAAGAGAATTACCATGGCTTCAGCATTTAAAAAATGCCGCTAGGGATATCCGATAATACTCTGATTTCCTTCTACATTACTCAAAAGAATTTTCTCTTTTGGCCATTTTTGGTTCCATTGGGCTGTATCCCTAGCCAGCCAAGTGCATGGAGGTTTCTTGAATTCTGCCTATACTTGAAGGAACTTAAGTTAGCATACGGCCATTATTGATCCATAGTGGGGTACGTCTGGTTCAGTGCCAGTTTCAATCTTTTGTATACTGTACAATCATATGTATTATATATTGTTGAGAAGGCATACCCATCATATCTCATGTATGCAACTGCCAGCTTTATAATGCTAATTCTCCATTACCAAGTACATATAGCAGCCAAACTTTTTAACTCACAACCAATCATCAATCAATCGATCTATTGACCAATCAGTCATTCATTCATTAAATACCTCTGTTGTCAGGTACACTCAGCACCTTTGATTACCATTATTTTAATGACTTTTGAGGAAAGTATAAATAAAATTCAAGGGAACAACAATAAAAATGCAATTACATATTCTCAATACCGGATTCCAAGAAAACAACACAAAGCTATCTTCGGTTGTTTCTTTGAGGATAGCATTAAAGGTCTTAATGGGGTTGACCAAAGTTGAACCATGATAAAAAACAGTGGCATATACAGCATCATCATCACAGAAAACACTAAATGGAAAGAAATAGACTTTAAAGCAAAAAGACATGCATTCTTGCATGTATCATGTATATTAAATCATAAAAAGAAACAAAAGTTGTGATCTTACTTTTACAGAATTATATCAAATAACTGTTGTTCCACTGGATTTTCTAGGCACTTCATTTTGTGGGAATAAATTAATTGAGAAGTTGAAGTAGGCAGATTCTCCTAAAATAATTTTTTCTTTTGGCAGAAAATCAATAAGTTAGAACAAAATTGCCAGTTTCTTATTCTCTCTCTCTCTCTCTCTCTACAGCTTCCAAAGTGTTCACAAAGTCACTAGAAGCATGAGGGCTTGAAAATTTAAACATAATATGCAATTGTGCAATAAATAAATGATTAAATTACAAATTCCTTCATGATAAAATTACAATTATATCAACTTGTGAAATTTATCAAGTAAAATTTTTTTGGGAAGTGAGTCTGTAACTCTGACATTAACAACCCAGATGATAACCTTTACTTTTCTATATTAAAATATTAATACAGATTTTGTATGAAATCTAATATGTTATCTGATCTTCAAGTTTCAAAGGTTGAAAAAGCTCCTCCAGCAATATATGGCACACATGAAAGAACCTATCCACAAACCCACTCATTGCTCTCCCATACATCTTACTGACAATCTTAACTCTCTGAATTCTCCATGGGCAGAGTGAAATGAGGAGAAAAAAATGCCACAGACAAAAACATGATGAAAATTACCTCCTCATGGTAGCGAATAGCCTGAGCGAAATTACCCAACAGATAATGGGTATTGCCGAGGTTACCGCAGGCTCTTCCCTCAGCCGCTCTGTCCCCAAGCTCTTGTACGATTTTGAGATTCTCCCTGAAAAATCAATTCAAAACAATATGAAAACATATCTGAGTCACATTTTTCATCTTTTACAACATTTTCTTTGAATAATGAATTTAAAAAAAAATTGGTAATCGACTGGTCCTGTGGGTCTAAATAAAGAGATAAATGTTTATCTATATTTCTAATATGCTGACAAGCAAACTATTTTGTAACACATACACAAAATAGACTATGATAAAAATAAGTTAATTAATTCAGTCTCCATGACACATCACTCAACTAATTACTAAAGCACATATCATTAAAGTTACAGTGACTAATCTGCAATTCTATTTATAGAATTAATCTGGGTCAACCTGACCTACTTACTCATAATAATCTGCTGCCTGTTGCAGGGCCTCCTTGACCTCTGGTGTGAACTCCCCAGGGTCCTGTTGACCGTTACGCCCAACTTGCTTTCCTTTGGCATGATACACGTTACCAAGATTGTATAGGGCTCTAGCTTCTCCTACCTAAAATACATTCATCAAATTGAGAGACGGTTAACAGAAAATAGAGTTAAAGACAAAAAAAAAAAAAAAAATAGAAGAATGGGACACAAGAAAGGAACATAAACCTCAAATAAAATCCACTGGAATAAATACCAAAAACATTTTGAATTAAAACTTAAATAAAATTTACTGAAAAAAACAAAGATAAATTGAGAAACTTAAAGAAAACAGATATTATTTGGAAAAATTGATAAAAGCATGACCTTTAAAAAAATTCCAGACTTCACTTTTTTTGTGGAACTGAAGCACAGTC